TGATACACTTAACATGATATGTTTATAGCATACCTTACTGAGAAACATTCTTTTCCTTTCATTGTGATCTTTGTGGATCGGAAAACTAATTCTCATGGCAGCTACAGAAATGGCTGTCCAAAGGCAGTATTGATGTTAGTGATTATTATAACTAATATAAGTAAATTACCAAAACTATTTTGAAACAAAGAAGACAAAAAGTAGTATACACTGAGGAAGAATGTACAAATGTATAACTTTGGTTCTAGATATATTTTCTAAATCAAAATTGCAAATAAAGGCTATGTAACATAGTTTTAGCAATACATATGAACATATCAACATATATGATCAACATGTGAACAAATTTAAAATAAGCTATCTAGGATCATGTGCACTATCTTCATTTGATAAAGAGTTCAATTTAATTAAACATATGTTTAGGCATGTCTACGGTTAATCCATAGAATAGGACACATTTTTTTTTTAATAAAACTGGGTTGGTTGTTTAACCAATTAACGTAACACTCAAGCTCACCCTTCTAATTTCAGAACACTAAAGCATTCCTTCTTTGCTCCCAATTGTAGGGACCTTACACCTCTGAATGGCTTAACACATATTATCATTTCTTGGCAACAGAATCAAGCTTATTAGAATCTTACAAAACTCACCTGGAACAGTAATTCCTTTTTTAAACAGAAAAATATAGGCTCACACATTTTTCTAAAAACTTTCTAAAAGAAATTCATAGCATATCAATGTAATACATTTTCCTAGTATTTTCAAGAGACATTCTTTGCAATACCTGAATAAAATTTCCTCCCTCCAATTTAAGCCTACTAGAGACTTAGTTTTATTTTGACTACCAGGGTCCTAAATCAATACGTGTTATAGAGGAAAATAGACATATGAGGCTATATTTCTTCACAATTCTTCTCGTCTTCCACTGCAATTGTATTTTATAAAAGTTTTTAAGTTGCTGCTTTACTTCACGAATTTAGTGCGACTCTATTCTAGACCCTTACATTTTAGGTAATGTCCAACTCACACTGAATTCATCAATCCTTTGCTGAGTCAGTTAAACTCTCACAAGGGGGAAAGTAGAGGGGATTTTTTATTCGCAGAACACCCCTGAAGTGTGGGTTTATTAAAACACTCGTGTGCTTCAAAATATTTCAGTCACACTTAACTGAAACTATCATGAGGAGACTTAAAAGAGAAATGCAGTAACACACATCTGAGAACTAAATACTGGAAGTGTTAGTTCTGAGGAGATTCAATACAGTCAGTGTAAGCATCTTCCAAGGTTAATGGAGAAATCAAGAACAATTGCCTTTATTTTCATTTCTTGGGCAACCGCAACACAAACTCTTTCAACAAATGTACCTTGTAATGTTAATGCTACCAGAGTTCATAAAGAGGCAATTTATTATTTTGAATTTATTGTCCAATAACAATTCAGCTTTGGGGCTTAATTCATTAGTTCACAGGGGTTCTTTTATTTGTTGAAGCTGACATTAAAAGATGTTTAATAATTCATAGTCTTTCATTTATATACTGTCAATGACCTGGAGACTTTGGCAGTTTTATTACTAAAAATTCAGCACAGACAAAATGGAAAATGAGTCACAAAGTAAATAAATGAAAAAACAGGGCCAGGCATGGTGGCTCACACCTGTAATCCCAGCACTTTGGGAGGCTGTGATGGGCAGATGTTTAAGACTAGACAGGCCAATGTGGCTGAGACCAGCCAGGCAAATATGGTGAAACCTTGTCTCTACTAAAAGTAAAAAAAATTAGCCAGGCATGGTATCATGTGCCTGTAATCCCAGCCACTCAGGAGGCTGAGGCAGGAGAATCGCTTGAACCTAGGAGGCGGAGGTTGCAGTAAGCCAAAATCCCGCCATTCAATTCCAGCCTGGGCGACAGAGCAAGACTCCATGTCAAAAGAAAAAAAAAAAAAGAAAAGAAAAGAAAAGTAAAAACAAGTAATCCTATGCAAGGCTAGTGCTTACTCATAAAATACCTATTTCCAATTCAAAACTCACACTCAGTCAGTTTTCTGTTTTTAAACCACTATCATGCATATGCAAATGTAAATGTAAATATCAGCCATGAGCTGGAAGATTGGCCAATATTAACTAAGGAAAAACTTAAACTAAAAGTATTTGGGTGAACCTTAAATTCATTTGCAAAGTTACTGGGCACCAAATGAGATTTAGACAAATTACAAAAGAAAATATCTATTAGAAGTAACAGGTCTCAACATTAGATTTAAGTAGCACAAATGTAACTAATTAATAACATCAGAGGTACATTCTCCCACAGGACTGATGACCATCTGGTTGACCTTGCCCTAGATCAACAGGGAAGGCAAATCCGTAAATCACTGTTTTACACATGTTATCACTCCATTATTTCACCACAAGAAAAAGGGATGGAACATGGATGGGAGAAGAGACTCCTTGTCCTACTACACACCTCAAAATTGACTATGATGCTTATTGCACCTGAGGTAATGCAAGACTAAGTGGTTTCTTCTTAAGCTCCACCCAGAGAGAGACAGGCAGAGGACCAAGTTATAGCGATGGAGAATTCAAGACAAAAGAGCCAACAGGTAAAGTAATTATGAGAGAATATAAAGGTACTTAGAAATAAAAAACAAGTAATGCAAATGACCTCTGTCTGATGCAACTTGAAACTATCTGAATTTTCCCAAAACACCTTTCAGTTTCTGATTTTTTAATTGGAAAACAGTCATAGAAATTTAGAAATATGAAATAAAAGTATGTCATATGTTTTTAAATATCTATATTCTTAAACATATTAACCCTATACAAAGCTCTAGATTTTGATGTTGAGAATAAACTACTTTGGAGGAATCTTAAGAACCTACTTAGTGTGATATTCAGATAAGTCATCATTTGACTAACGAGAAACTTTAAATAATAATAAATTTGGAACAGGCATCTCAAGGAGATACACTGTGAAATCTCCTAAGAAAACTGTGTTGAACCAAGGTTTAAAATTTGTACATTTTGACAAATGTTTTTGTCTGATACTTTTCCTATACCTTGCCTATGTAGTTCATTTTAGGAACATTTAAAATTATTGAGTTAGAAATTGTGGAATTTTATTAGATGTATTCTCACTGTTGATAAATCTCTTTTAAACTATATTCAAAATAAGTGATTTACTATCTCTATGATTATTTGCACTTTCTCTTCTTTCCTAAGAGTACCTGTAATACTCTTGAGAAGAACAAAATATCAGGCATTATAGAACTTTGAGATCAATAACTCATTATGTCATATTCTATATAAGTTACAAATTAAGGAAAGTCTTATTCTGCAAGAATCTGTTTTGAGTTTGAGAGCATTTAAAATATTAGGCATATATTATTTCAAATCTCATCGTTACCTCCAGGTACTGTATAGCAGAGCTGTCACTGTCTTACATTGTTCTGAAGTTTGGCTCTAAAAGATTATACTATGCAATTTCCTTCTGTAAAATATGAATTGTAATTGTCTTTTCAAATACAGAATTGGTTCATTATCTCTGGTGACATACTTTTTATTAATATTTACATTAAAAGTTTGGATTAATTTTCAATGGAAAAGAGAGCAGTTAGAGACATCCAATCTATTAGATCACAGCATCTCTATATATACTCGGAAAAATATAGAAAATAGAGGGGAAATTGCACTACTTCTTAACGCTTTTTCTTTTTTATTTGAAAAGGTATTTCATAGTTCTCAACTTGGGAGGAAACTTGTGGGCAGTCTATAAGATGCTTTAGTAATTAAGGGACAAAAAAGGACACTTCAAAGGGTCTGTATTTCCATTCTTCACAACTTAACTGCATAGCTATGGGTTTTAAGGGGAATGCCTGGCATGAAGGCTAAGGAAGCAATTAGAAGCTCACACATTCTAAGTTCCAAATATGGCTCCTTCGGTGCTTATGATGACCTTGGGGAAAGCACTGGTGACTTAAAAAGAAAAAAAATAGAACAGCCATTTGACTGATAAGTGTCAGTCATTCATTCTGAATAACTGTTTGACTGAATGACTATTTGAAATTTGAGACAACAAAGAGTTTCGCAGACAACTTGCTATAGGAAGGTCTGAGAGTATGTTGTTTATCAAATGAAAGAAAAAATATTTGCAATGACACTGAAGTTTCTGCAGAGTTGAAAGAAGTAATAAAAATATAAATGACTTTGATTGCCAGGATGGTGTTCCTCATCCATGTCTTACTCCATCTGTCCAATTAGTATGGGTTACTTGACTAACCAAAATCATTCATCTGTAAGTCCTTTGAACTATATGCATTAAAGCTCATACAAACCATTTCCTCAGAAGACCTTGCACCTTTTATGTATGTGAAAAATTGAAATCACACCCATTTCCCTAAGCTTCTGAGGACATTTGTATACAACAACAATCAAAAGCATATTTCCAATTATTATTTTAGATCCTTTTCAATTAATTAGGGGACTAAGCCAATCTCAGGAAATCCTTGTGGAAAAAGAAGAAACACCATTAGAACAACACATGGAGAAACCAGTTTTGAGACTAATGCCCAAAAAATTAATTGGGATAATTGTTTAGTGATTAAACTTGCATAGCTCTTTCTGCTGCTGAGGATTAGCATAAAGGGACCACTTCTTAACATTTCCAGGTGAATAGTAAGATCAAAGATGCTAGGCTTTGAGCTTGCCCGTCTCCCCCATGAGTACACTGGCAAGCACAGAAGAATTGTTTTACAAAAAGCAGCATATACTACAAGCATTTTCAAAAATATTGCCTCAAATCCAGCAGAGGGTTTTTGTCTATTAACCAGTCATTTAAAATAGCCATTGTCCTCCAAAAAACAGCCCAGTAAATATTTTTTTAATTAATATCCAGTAATATTTTATACTCTTCATTAATTTTTATTAATTAAAATAAAATGAATCTGGATAAGGAAGAAAATAAAATTTAAAATAACATTTTTCCGAGTGTTTATCAACTCTCTTACCATCAAATGTTAAATAAACTCTTGCTTGGGGCTGGGAAGATCCTTTTACACAGATAGAACAAATAAATACTCCAACCAACATGCAAATTGCTCGGAATGCCATTTCTTCAGATATGCAGGTTAATATCCAAGGGAAAATACCTTTAAGAGAGAGATAACAAGTTCGTTATATCTCATTTCACATTTTAGTAGTAGGAAAAAAACAGTAATCTGCACAAAACACCCTATTCACTAAAGAGCCACCTGAACTTTTACAGTAATGCAAACAGTAGGAGGTGCTGTGTCTTTGCTTCTCAGATGTGAAAATGTGGATTTAATTCATTTGTGTCTGGAATTCGGCAACAAGAGAAACTTTCATCTTTAAGCAAAATGATGCTACCATCAAAACAGAACAAAGCAGTCAGAAAAAGCATTGATACCTGAAGTAAAGCCCAGTATTTTAACAGGTCTTCCCTCTAGAAATCCATTACACTAAAAAGACTTGAACAGAATTGTGCTAATAGACTATAACTGGATGAGAACTCTTCCCCCCACTAACGTAACAGCAGTAGCAAAATCCCACATGAACATTCATGTGGACCTACTCACTTCCATAGTCTTTAGCTCTTTTAGAGTAACTGTCTCTGAAATGGTGTTTTCATACATAAATCTATGTGTGCTCAATCTTTGATCACTAATGTCACTGGAATCAGTTATCTGCCATTTTATCCAGATGACCAGCAGGCAGCTGTTAAATGATGCAGATGAGGTAACTATGGACTTGTGCCAAATTCAAACCAATGACCTAGGTGATGCATATTTTAAATAAATCAACCTGAAAGTGGGCTGTCAAAATACCCAAAGATAAATCAAAGAGACAAGTGTCACTGCTTGAAACTATAGATATAAAATTGATACATGCTCTTAACTAACATCTGAATCCCAAGGAAGGTCAGATAATATGTTTCCATAAACCTAAGGGAGCTCTAGTGGCCACATCATATAAAATAAACTCAGGACCATAAAAGAAATGCAATCATTTTACTTCTACCACAATTATACAATAAAATGACCCAACAGTCCAATAAAGAAATTTATTTTTACAGGTTACAACAAGTCATTCGACTTTTCAAATTAAAATTTCATCGACAAAATTATTAACTTCTTGGTAAGTGCCACTAACAATTGAAAAAGACAGCTTCATTAATACAGAATAAAAAGAATAAAATGGAATATGCTATTTTAAAGAAAATTGTAAGTATATTTCCTAGGTGATGCATGTGTTAGGAGAGTTAGAAATGAAATTGTTATGTTTCTTTTACCACACAGATGGAGGAAACTCTAGAGATGTTTGTGTTGGTAATTTTCAAAAGAAACAGTTTCTTCCTGCTTCCACAACCTCTTCACCCTGTCATCCCTAAATTAACTTAGAAGGAAACTGATTTTATGGATGACTTTCCCTTAATAATTTGTCCCTTGGTTCTGTTGACTTTATAGTTAAAGCCAAAAGAAAAAAGCTATTAATATGCCTAACCTTTGTATGTTTACTGAGCAAGCTGATACTATTAACACATCTTTTTTTTTTCTTTTTCTTTTCTTTTTAATATTGTCATCTTACCTTATCTGTTTCTCCCAAAAGGACATATATCACCAATTGCAAAGAATAATGCTGGGGATACAATGGCAGATGAAACAAAGGTGGTCTACTTGGCAATTTCATTTACATCCTACCCAGTGATGAGGAGTGCGAGACTGAAAGCCAAGTTCTTAAATATGCCCCCGCCTCCCCAACAGTATCATACAACTTCTTCCCTTTAACTCAGACACAGACGTTCCTCTTGTTTTCACTTCTGCTGATTGGAAGCTAGTAACACATAAGAAAGTAATTCTCTTATATCCTCTGGAGCAATTTTGCCTTGAAAGGCACTGTAACACTCAACTTTAAACTCTCCGCAGGTGTCACAGCCTAAAGAAACAACTCGAGCAGGGCTCTCAGCAAGGGGAAAGCTTCCCTGACAAACCGCGTGTGCTCTTAAGAAAACGTCCAGGCTTGAGCACACCAATGTATTAAAAGTCAATATACAGGCCCCGAAAGTTATATTTTTGCTAAATTTGTAATGCGTAAAATGGCCAGTTTAGCTTACCGAGGTTGGAAGAAATCAGCACGGAAAAGTCATCAATTTGCTACCGGGGTTGGATCCGCTTGCGTCTCCAGTCCTTTTCCCAGACGCCCTTAATTTCCAGCACGTCCCAATGGTGAAATTCTTTCTTCCCGGTCCTCTGAGTTTCTTTGTAAAGGAATCTCAGCGCTCTAGAGCCGCGGCACCCGGAGCCCTTCTCCGCGTCGCTCAATCAAGCACCTCAGAGTGAATGGAAAGTGGCCGGCCGCGGTGGGCGAGCGCTCTTGGTGTCCGATTACAGCGCCACAGCGCGCGTCTCCCGCTGCCCCAGCGCGCCGCCCAGCAGGCTCTCATCACCGCCGCGCAGCCCCGGCCGCACTCCGCCGGCCGCTAGGCCCCACCCCGAGCGCGTCGGCCAAAGCGTGGCAGGGAGCCGCGGGGGCGGGCAGGGCGGGGCGACCCTTAGAACCCGCCGCGGGTCAGACGCAGGAATGCGCGGCCGCAGGCTGGAGCCCGAGCCTGGCAGCTCTGCTCCTTTCGCAGTCCGCGGCAGAGTGAGCAACTTGCTCGGTGCGCTCCACGGTTTTTGTTGCCGGCGGCTCTTGGAAGACACTCAGACTTTGCCTGGCCGTAAATATCAAAACGCAAGGCAGTTGTGGTTTTTTAAAATTTTTTTATTTTTGCCAGGGAAGGATCACTGCATCCTTTTAAGGCAAAGAGATGACTTTTTTAAAGGGCGTGAGTTTTGTCCTTATTCTGCCGCGTATTTCTTTCCTTTTTTTTTTTTTTTTTTTTTTTTTTTTTTTTTTTTTTTTTTGAGACAGACTCTTGCTCTGTCGCCCAGGCTGGACTGCAGTGGTGCGATCCCGGCTCACTGCGACCTCCGCCTCACCAGTTCAAGCGACTCTCCTGCCTTAGCCTCCTAGTAGTTGGTATTACAGGCGCGCACCACACCACGCCCAGCTAATTTTTTGTATTTTCAGTACAGACGGGTTTCATCATGTTGGCCAGGATGGTGTCTATCTCCTGACCTCGTGAAGCGCCCGCCTTGGCCTCCCAAAGTGCTGGGATTACAGGCGTGAACCACCGTGCCTGGTCTTTGCCATGTATTTTCGAAAACAGGTCAAGATAAATGACAATCTTGTTGCACAAGTTTATCCTTGTAATGGGTATTGTTTCCTATTGAGTTTCCTCTAATGCCCTGAAGGCAGTAATTCCGTTGACCCCTCCACATTGACTCATATCCACTAGGTTCCCCTCCAAGGTACTCCCAAACATAATTACAAGAAGAAATTATTTCACAGTTCTGTGTTGAAAGGCTGTTTGAGTTATGCCAACAGATAGCTGTAACTACACGTGTACAGAAATATATCAGAGGTATATTTCCAGCATTACTTTCAGGTACACTCGTTAAACTATGGAACTGACTTTGATGTTTAAGTGAAAATTGCTTCTCCGGACCACAATAAACTAGATGTTTAAACATCGGGAGAAATGAACTTTGATCGCTGTAAAACTAGCAGGCACTTGCTTAAAATCACTGTGTCCGCAGCCCAGCAGATGTCACTCTACAGAAGGAACGCGGAGTGTAATTTCTCTATCTTATACCTGACAATTTTCTTCACATAATGAAACAGAATCATTAAATTCTTATAAACTGTGTCATAGAAAACACCTCTGAGAGTGCAAAATCATTGCTCAGTGGGAAAGTTGAATGAAATCTCAGGTGGGAGGAAGAGGTGAGTGAGACATAGCTTTCCTGTGTCTCTTGTGTTCAGTGAACATAAACGTGTCTCAGACTCATGCTGCATTGTCAAGAAATGAAGGGATCAAATCAATGCAAATGGAAGAGTTCAAAAATTCTATTCCAGGGCTAATATTATCTTCAAACTTCAAAAATTTAATATAGTAACAGTTAAAATTATTTTTGGTGATGATGTGAGAAGATCCTTGACATAAATTTGTAATAAGGAATTTAACCTACCAAAAATCTGACAGTATTAAAATCCAGATGTCCATATAAATAAGCACTATGTGTGCTTCTCTGAAACACTTCTGAAACTGAATGACATCCAGGTTATATATTCTCCATTATTATCCTTCTACTGATGTCTCTATTGGCATTTATATATTAAGGAAGGAGAAGAATAAATCATTAGATGAATGTGGGGATTAAATGACATAATTATTAATTTAGAAATGTGGAGATGTTAGAAGTTAGAAACTGATCAACAAATTCATGTAAGATAGAATTTGTTTATACATTTGAAGTTTGAGAAAGCCATGACGAAGAGATGCAAGATAAAATGCATCTCAAACGGTGTATTTACAAACTCCAAACTCAATTTACAAACACCAGTGAATTAGCTCAATCTCTTACACATACAGGGGTTTGGAGGCCTTGGCAAATAGTTTAGATTTAATCACAGTCCGTGAAACTTGTGCCAAAGTTACCTCAATGTTGCCCAAATAAACTTCTTTGCAATGTGCTCCTGGGATTTAATGGTATTTGCTTAGCTCTGAGACGTTTACAGTTGGCCACACCTCAAAATGAATCATAAAAATACTGATAGGCTTTAGCCAAGATGGATTCAAGTGCAAGGACACAGTGCTCATGCTTGCCTGAAACTTAGGCCACAGGGTGGAATTTTAACAGTAGCACTAGAAGCCCCTACGATTAATCTCTGCCCACATTTACCCAAACTGCTTAAAACACCTTGACAAAACAAGACTTGCATAAGAAACAGTGGTGGGCACTACCACTTTTTTAGGACTTCATCTGCCTGGTGCATGACTGACATCTGTAATCCCAGCACTTTGGGAGGCCAGGGTGGGCAGATCACAAGGTCAGGAGTCTGAGCTCAGCCTGACCAACATGGTGAAATTCCATCTCTACTAAAAATACAAAAATTAGCTGGGTGTGGTGGCGGGCACCTGTAGCCACAGCTACTCAGGAGGCTGAGGCCGGAGAATGACTTGAACCTGGGGGGCAGAGGTCGCAGTGAGCCGAGATTGTGCCACTGCACTCCAGCCTGGGTGGCAGAGCAAGATTCCATCTCAAAGATTAAAAAAAAAAAAAAAGATCATCTTTGTCCTTCCAAGTGGAAAACAACATCAACTAATTGAGAATGCTGTTTTTGGTAAGGGGGACACTAAATGGATCTACAGGAGGAATGACACAACTACATTTAGAGAGCACTAATTACAATGTTTGCACCCAGCAAAATGTTTTAGACAAACAGCCAAGTTAAAATACCGAGGGTCACTTTTATTAAGATGTTTTAGAAATGGCGCAGTATCTTACACTCTGAAGTATCTTTTCCTGCAGGTATAGTGGGCATATTTTTAATATTTTATGTTTCTGATGGTCCTGAGGAATGTTATTTAACTTAAAAGTCTAACACCAATTTTGAGTTATACACTTTTCTTCAGGAGTTTCTGAAGCTATGAATTCTCTTATTTCAAATTTAAAGAAAACAGATTTTTCCCTATTATACAGATGAGTCATATAAATAAACTCTACCCTAACTAGAAAATCTAAATCCTTCAGAGATTGAATATTGTCTCCTTGTTTAGTCACAACTAATATCTGTAACAGAAAATTGGCTGGGCACGTGGCTCACGCCTGTAATCCCAGCACTTTGCGAGGCGGAGGCCAGTGGATCACGGGGTCAGGAGATTGAGACCATCCAGGCTAACACAGTTAAACCCTGTCTCTACCAATAACACAAAAAATTAGCCTGGCGAGGAGTCAGGCAAATAGCTTGAATCCAGGTGACGAAGGTTCCAGTGAGCCAAGAACACACTCCAGCCAGGGCAACAGAGCTAGACTATGTCTCAAAAAAAAAAGTATCTGTGTTTGCCAGATAATTTGCTTATTATCTGCATATCTGCATAGCATTCTTTAATAAAGTTACAGTTTTCCATGAGAGAACATTGAAGGTTTGCCCAAAGTCAAATGGAGAGTAAATAACAGAATAGGAAGAGAAACTCAAACATGATTCCCTTAGTGTCTGATATTTTTCAGTAATTTCAATAGCTTACTCTTATCTTTTTTGCTTAACTTTTTTCTCCTCTCTTCTCTAGTTTCCTTTCTTTCTCTTTTACTTAACTCCCAGATGCCATCCTTTACAGTTTCCTGAACTGTAGCTTTGGAAAATCTGAATTTCCAATGGTTACTTACTTTATTTCCGTCAGCCTCATGTCTCCTTGGGTTACCTAAGTAGCTCTGAGATCAAGCTGGTCAAACAGGTCTGTTCTAGAAATCTGTGTGTGAAACTGCTACCTGCACAGCTAACAGGCTTTAGTATTTCCTCTATCAAATCATTTCTAATATTTCAATAGGATGAGTGTATCTCTATTTTCATTCTTAATCCACTGCTAATCTGTATTAATGACTCTTCCTCTGTTGATATGTACTAGACTCTATGCTTCTCAAATTGTAGGATTCTTGGCATTAAACAAATTGCTGACAGTGGTTTGCTCTGGAGAGGAAAGTTGGCTAGAAAGGTCTCATGGTTCACTATATTTTACATTTATAATTTTAAACGAGGTGAGTGTATAAGCTACCACAAACTTCAAAGTTTAAGTCCTCAGCATTTATCTAAACAAATTTAAACATATCAAATACGTAAAGCACAATATTTCCCAACTCAACCAAAATAAGAGCATATTGCCTCTAATGTTCATATATTATATTTTATGTATAAAGTGGAATAGTAAAGAATTTCAGTAGTAAGAATCCCTTAGTGAATTTTTGCTTTTAGTAAAAAAAGGTTATGTGTGCATGACTAAGGTTGTAAAAGAGTATTAAGATCATTCACATTTTCATCACAAGGACAAAATGTAAATTTTCTATTTGTTTTGTCCTTCTTGGAATATTTCATATGAAGCCTCAGTGAGAATAGAGTATATGTATCTGAGATTAACTATATACAACAGTTGCAGAGTATTCCATGGTAACTTAACAAGTAATGTTTGCTAGTTGAATATATGCACACACATTGACAGTCACATCTTAAGAAAAGCCAACTGCTTTTATGAATCATATTGGATCTCAAGTTCTCTGTCTCTTCACCTGAAAGTACAAAACCGTTTCCCATATCTGTTCTCACAGGAGAGCCATGAAAGGCCTTTATAAGTGCCTCTGATTGTCAGATGCATGTAATGAGGCTCAAAAATAATAACCAGCTGGAACAATGAATGCAGGACTGTTAGTTCCGGCTAATTGACTCCCATCTACAGCCCTTTGAAATGGGCAAAGGCCTTTCCATGTAATCTTCAGATTTTACTATTGTTATCCTCTTCTTGGACTTTAAATGGTTGACTAGAAAGGGGAGTATTAAATTATGCAAAGAACTTTCACATCCTAGCAGATGCATTCTCATAATGAGAATCACATGAGAAATCCTGCTGTTTTCTCCACCAATGATTTCCAGGAAGTTGAGGGGGCTGTGTAGGAAATTTGCAAAGAATCAGCCACTTATTCAGTTTATTTTATTTATTTTTAGTCATGAGGCTTTGAATTTTTTTTAACTTTTAAGTTCAAGGGTACATGTGCAGGTTTGTT